AATAGAGAAAAATTACATATGTGAACCAGTGAAATTTACCAGTCTCTGTTTTCTCATTATTAGGCCCACCAAACAGAAAATTGAAAACTCTATAACACAATAGCATTATAATAGAAAGAAGCATAACACTGAACCCTATATAATCCGTTTGGACTTCCACCAGATCATAGGTTCACTGAGGGCAGGAAATCTATTCACTATACAGTGACTGGCACAGATATTTGTTGAATTGAGCTCTTATCAAAGGACAGAAATGTCAGGGACTATCTACCACCTACCATGTAATGGGAAGTTCAAACAATGTCTCTTCTAAAAAGGCTTTCTGATGGTTTAATCTCACACTGATTATTTTCTTTATTCTGACCAGCTATACCACTTATTTATACTACAAATGTTTTTCCTCATTCCTTTACTTTTCAATGTTTTCTACTTGTTTAATGTGCATTATCTTTATCATTTGAATGAGTTCCTATCTGAATCATGAATTTATATTTCTTCTGTAGGTCAGTACAAAGGACATAGGAAAAGTTTAGTAAGGAAACATTTGGTGAATTGAATTCAATCCTGAAACATCAGACTATGAAAAACTATGCTGAATTTTAGCAGTGGGAGAAAATAAATATACAGAATTGAGATTAGCAACTAATCAGGCTACAGAATTAGATTGATGCTTAGTCTTGTATCAGCCTCTCAAGAGCTGAATTAACCTTCAGTGTGATACTTTCTCTCCATAAGCTTCAATACCCTCATCTATACAATAAGCAAAATAATAGTACCTATATCCCAGCTTTGCTGAGCATATTAAATGAAATGGTGAATGTAAAGGGATTACACAGTGACTAGCAGATGTTAAACACTCAAAAACTATTATTATTACTAAACTGTAATTTCTATAAATGACTGCTGGGATAGCCTCTTCTATTTTAATATGCAAAAATATGAACTAAAGGATATGATTTGACATATGAAATTTTCAAACTTTTCCTTTTCTGATGATATATATTGATAAAATATGTCACCATAAGCATTTAAATTTTTTTCATACTTAATTCACATCATGTGTAATAGATGTATATGTTTCTATGCATGTATGTATGTGTCTATCTATTGATTCATTCATCATCTAACACTGTCTTTCCCAGCACATATTATGAAAACAATGGATATTTGTTGAATGAATGAGTTTTAAAACATACAAATTTATTGCCGCACTATCCTCCAATCCTAAAGAATTAAAAGAAAGATGTTTTGAAACATGTTTTGAACAAAGAAGTTGTTGCATATTTATCCCCCATTGGAAAGAATAAAGGAAAACCACAGAGCTGAATATAGCAAATAATGATCATTTTTTTAATGTCCCAAATTAGAATAGTCAAAATCACTAGCCATGTCTTACCTGTCAGTTCCACAGGCCAATTCTAAAGGCATGTTAACTAATTTATTAACTAAAAATAGTCTGCTCAATAAATAAACTATAGTATTTGACTCTTGCAAAGAATAACAATTATTTTCCAGTCCTCTTGGAATGACAAGCTGATTTGAAAGAGTAGCTATGTACTTATTGGACAAGTCCAAAACTTTTCCAGAAAATAAGTTGACTCTTGAATCATCTCTCTTCATTTCAGTATTGCATAAATCCCAACCTGGCAACATCAACGAGATGTGATCTTCATCGGAAACAAGTCCTAAAGAAACAGGACCCTGAAGCTTTAAAATATTGAGATGCTTAATGCAAAGATGATCTAATTCTTTATCCACCCCCCACGGCAAAAGGCAAGACAAAAACAATTTAGCTGTGTCTATGGTGAGGCTGGCGTCAACTTTGATTGAAAGCTTAGGGTGCATCTTTTTGGAGCTCTTCACTTTCTTCTGCCTTTTAATGCCATCATTTTCTTCTGAGAATTTGTTGGTATTATCTCCTTGGGCCAGGCTTTCACTAACGGGCTTGGCTTGTGCCTCTGTTGAGAGAGGACCACAGGCAGTTTTATTTTTCTTCAGTGTGATTGTCTTCTTCTCTACAGTACTCTTGGCTCTTCTCAGGATCTCACTACCATAGGATGAATTGGAAGAGTCACCACCACTGAGTGGAGTTGGCAGCAGAAGTTCAACAAGGTTTTCCAGATCAAATAGAAGAATGTGAAAGCCGACATGGCTCCATTTTGTCTTCACAGGCAAGACATTAAAAGGCCTCGGGAAAGACTTGGCATCGGCAGCCTAAGGGGGACAAAAAATATTTATATGTCAAAGTTCTTGTTCTTTAAGTCACTTTATTAAAGATTCCATGATGTTGAAATGACATGGAAAAAAAAAAGTAATAAATAGCAGTATAGCTAAAGGCAAGTCATTTCCATTTTTTTGGTCTTAGCTATAAAAATTCCTTTCTAAGTTAAATATTCTATATTCTAAAAACATTTGAAAGCTTTTCTTCTTCCTACAAGTTTTGTTTTTCCTCTAAATAAATATGAATTAGGCCTCTGGAGTAAGATGGCACCGGATTAACATCCTTTGACATACACTCTCATGTCTTATTATTATTGTAGTCATGAAGACTACACAGAAAAAGTAGCTTTGAAAATTAAGGAGAACAAAAGTACTCACATGCACAAATTTAGGAAGTATTTTTACAAGCATGTTTCTTTCAAATTTGTTAAAATTTTTAAATAAGTGTAAATAACCTAATTGTTAACCAATATCAGATTGCTTTGAAAAACAAACACTTGTCTTGTGGACTTGCATTTGATTTTGCCCCAAGGATCGGCACAGTGGGTTCCCATACTTCAATCAAGTTCATGTTCATTTATGAGACCATCCTTGAGTACCCTATCCCCTCACGCCAACTCATTATTTTCTATCCTCTACCTTGCTTTCTTTATTCTTCCTAATACTTATGATTATCATACAGTATATAAAAATTTCATTTGTTTATTGTATGTTTTATCCACCAGCATTCAAGCCCCACCTTTGCAAGAATTTTGTACATTGCTTGCTCCTGGTGACTGTGAAATGATGCTGATAAATGACATTTTTATTAAAAGACTCAATAAGTATTTGTTGAATTAATGATTAGCAAATTTATATAATAGAACACTATTTACATATTTTAAAATA